TAAGAGAAAGGCAGAAAGAAGAGGTGTTAGAATGCACTTGTCATGCTGGTGACTAGGTAACAACCATGAGTGTCCAGGAAGTCAAAGGTCAGGACAGAGGCAAGACCTTCAGGCAATCAGGAAGGTGCCCTTGTGAAACCTTGAAAAACAGAGGGAATCTTGCCCATGGTGATGTAAGACTTATGCAGCTGAAAATAAGAAGGTACCATTTCAGCCAGGTGCCATAGCTCACACTTGTATTCCCAGCAGTTTGGGAGGCTGAGGCAGGAGGATTGCTTGAGTCCAGGAATTTGTGATCAGCCTAGGCAACATAGCGAGACATAGCCTCTACAAAAAAATTTAAAATTAGCTGGGTGTGGTGTTGTGTGCCTGTAGTCCCAGCTACTTAGGAGGCTGAGGCGGGAGGATTGCCTTAGTCCAGGAGGTCGGGGCTGCAGTGAGCTGTGATTGAAACACTACATTCCAGCCTGGGCAACAGAGAAAAACCCTGACTCAAAAAAAAGGTACCATTTCAGTGTGTACATCTCATCTAGAACAAAAACTTCTTGAGACAAAACTGTAGTACATCCAGATGATGGAATGTTACTCAGTGATTTTTGTAAAAATGAACTGTACCCAGCACTTTGGGAGGTGGAGGCGAGAGGATTGCCTGAGCTCAGGGGTTCAAGACCAGCCTGAGCAACATGGCAAGACCTTGTCTCTGTAATAAATCAAAAAATTAGCCAGGCATGGTAACAAATGCCTATGGTTCCAGCTACTAGGAAGGCTGATGTGGAAGGATCACCTAATCCCAGCAGTTTGAAGCTGCGGTAGCTATGATTCTGCCACTGCACTCCAGCCTGGGCAACAGAGTGAGACTCTGACTCAAAAAAAAAAAGTAAAAATGAGCTGTCAAGCCATGAAAGGACATGGAGGAACCTCAAATGCATATTGTTAAGTGAAATAACCCAATCTAGAAAGGCCAAATACGCCATGATTCCAACTAGGTGATATTCTGGAAAAGGCACAACCATGGAGGTGTGTGAAGATTGGAGTTGCTCGGGTTGGCAGGTGGGGGAGAAATGGCAGGTGGAGCACAGGGGACTTTAGGGCAGTGAGACAACTCTGCATGACACTGTAATGCCAGGTGCATGGCATTATGCATTTGTCCAAGCCCATAAGGTATGCAACACTCAGAGTGAGCCCTACTGTGTAAACTATGGACTGTAACTAATAATAGTAGGTCAATATTGGCTCTCAATTGCGACCAATGTGCCCCTGGATATAGTAATAGGGAGTCGGGGGCTGGGGCAGGTGGGGAGAATGCAGGCTATCTCTGTACTTCCCACTCATTCTTCTGGAAACCTAAAGTTGTTGTAAAAAAATTAAATGAATTAAGTGAGTGTCAGAGAAGCAGGTTACTCCTAACGGATGGGAACTGAGGAGTACAATAACAAAAAGTACCTGTGCTTAAATAATTTGTTAAATGAATTAACATTCTCTCTTTTTTAAAACTTTGTCCTAAAAGGAAGGCTCATTTTGGGGAAACAGTCAACAGGCTGTGTGCGTTGCCCCCACACTGCCCCTGCATTGGTGAGTGCATCACCCTTCCACCACCTTCAGAAAGCTAAATACAAACAAAAAAGATATACCTTAATTAACACTACAGGTGCAACCTTTACTCACCAGTCAGCAACTTCTTGAAGGAAACAAAAACCCTGACACTTCAGCAGCAGTGAATTCTGTCTACACCATGTCCACGTTCATCCAGCTGCATGTCCTCTTGGTCAGCACCACTGACTCCCTGGTGCTGAGAGCCTGAGTAGCTCG